TACTATATTTAATATAACACAATTATATTTAATTTTATTTATTTTTTGTTGGGTGTACCCTGAGCAGCTTTATAAGAGGAGGGCCCGCAACGAAAGTTATTTTTTCTGGTGGTGTGGGGGCAGCAAGGGGAACGAGGCAGTCGGCGGGTATCGAACCCGGGACCTCTCCCCGCATGCAGCAGGGGGCGAGGCCCTCGAGCTGCAGGTGGTGCTGCAGCGCAGCTGGGGGGTCTAGCGTGCCCTGTACATACACCCCAGATATAAACAAAACACAACTGAGGCAGATACAGACAGAGATAATATAATACAAAATAAAGGAGACAAATGGAGAGACAGAATAAATAAAAAAAAAAAAAAAGAAAGAAGAGACAGAAGGAGATAGAAAAGAAAAAAGAGACAGAAGAAAAAAAATATAAAAAACAACAGATACTGTCTCCTCTCTCTATCCTCCAATCAACAGATGCAGCAAAAAAAAAAACAAAGACAGCAGCAGCAGCAGCAGCAGCAGCAGCAGCAGCAGCAGCAGCAGCAGCAGAGACAAACAAATACAGATGCAGCTCGTCTCCCCCCCATTTCTCTCTCTTCTGCCTTGAGCAACGAAAACTAGGGTTTAGGGTTTAGGGTTTAGGGTTTAGGGTTTAGGGTCACCGTTCTACTGCTTTTTTCCTCAATTATCTAAGTGAAAATAAATATAATAAATAAACATAATAAATAAATATAATAAATAAATATAATAAATAAATATAATAAATAAATATAATAAATAAATATAATAAAGGCCCCACACAACAAAAGCAAACACAAAAACAAAAAGACAGAGACAGAAGAGAAGAAAGCCAAAGAAAGCAGAGACAAACAAAGAAAAAACAAATAAAAGAGAAAAAAGAAAACAGAGACAAACAACCACAACACCAAAACAGAACCAAACAAAACCCTAAAAAAACAAAAAAAAAAACAAAAAAAACAAAAAAAACAAAAGAGACAGAAGAGCCCCACTAACCTCAAGGACAGAGCGGTATAGCCAGCTAGCTGTAACGAAGTGTACATACACCCCAGCAGCAGCAACCCCACCACCAGCAACACCACCAGCACCACCAACCCCACCAAAAGACAAAGACAACAACGCCCTGACTTCAGCAGCAGCAGCAGCAGACACGGCGGGGTCCTGCAGCACCACCGCGAACACCTCGACGCCCCCACCGCCACAAACCCTGCTGCTGCTGCTTCCCCCTGCTGCACCTTCACCAGCAGCAGCAGCAGCAGCAGCAGCAGGACCTGCTGCTGCTGCTCCTGCTGCTGCTGCTGCTGCTGCTGCTGCTGCTGCTGCTGATAGGGTTTGGTGGATAGAGAGACAGACAGAGGCCTTTGCCTTGAAGGTATCCTCTGCTGCTATCCTCATCACCGCAACCAACGAACCCTCGACACCACCCGAGCAGCTGCAGCAACAAACACAAACCCTAAACCCTAAACCCTAAACCCTAAACCCTAGGAGGTTTTCTTTAGCCAACTGAAACCCTAGACACGGAAGTACCTGTCGATGCTGGCGGTGTTGTTTGTGTCTCCTGTAACGAAGCAAATGAAGCGTTGGGGTGTACAGGGAGCAGCAGCAGCAGCAGCAGCAGGAGCAGGAGCAGCAGCAGCAGCAGGAGAAGCAGCAGCATCTGGTTGTTGGTTCTGCTGCTCGCGGGGTTTATGTTTAAGGGGCCCCAGGGCAGCAAGCCAAGGGGGGCGCAGCAGGGGGCTGAGGTTAGCGTCATAGGGAGGGGGGCCCCCAAACAAACAAAGAAAACGAAAGTATACACCCGAGACTAAACACTCCACCGGCGCCTGCTGCAGCAGCTGCGCATGCTGCAGCAGCAGCAACAGCACACATACACACAGAGAGAGACGAAACACAGTAGCAGCAGCAGCAGCAGTAGCAGCAGCAGCAGCAGCGGTAGCAGCATTCATTGTAGCAGCAGTTACCGCAGCAGCAAACGCTCTCACGGCAGCAACAAGAACGCACAGAACAGCAGCAACCACAGCAGCAGCAGCAGCAACAACAACAACAGCAACAACAGCAACAGCAGCAGCAGCAACAACAGCAGCAGCAGCAACAGCGCGTCAGCTGTCCCCTCCTACTTCTCTCCTCGCAGCAGCAAAGCGATGAGCTGTTAGGGGTATCCACAGCCGCATGCAGTCGGCAGCACCAGCCCCATCACCAACCCCCCCACGAGACCCACAACCAACATCAGGGGCCCCCGCGGGGGCCCCCCC